GAAAGGCAGCAACGTTATGTCAGGTGTGTACCAAGAGGCCCAAGCAATTCAAATTCTTGCTGAGCCTGAAAGAAGGAAAACAGGAACGTAGGTCAGATATGAAGGTGATGTTCCTCACGGTGAGCTCTATCGACCTGAGGAATAATTTCCCAAGGGAAGGGGTTGGATTCTCCACTTCACCTCTGTGGATGCTCTCTGGAATGATGCACGAGGTGGACCTCGGGTCAGTGAGTGTCTGCGGGTTTTTTTTTAATAGATTAAAGTGCTGCTGGTGGCTACATGTTTTGCATGGAAAACATGATCAGTCTGGTTTAATTACAGAGCATATAAACCAAGTACAATAAATCCATTCAGTAAATATGAACTAATGAGTATAACTCAGGAGAGGGAAGGGGCATTTAGATGTTTATACAAAAAGAAGGAAGTTTGGACTGAAGGAGATCTTTCTTAATTTCTGGATGCCAAATTGCAGACAACGTATGGTCTCCTATCTGGGCTGGCTTCTAGCTTGGTTCTGTTCTGGCAGGCCTATTGATAAAGCTTTGTGTTTGCAGTAGTGCAGCTACTTAGGTGTAGCTACCCTTCGACACTCTCTAAGGTGGGATGTGCGTGATGAAGGTCAGTGAAGCAGATGAATCCACCCATGTTTCTGAGATATGTGATTGCAAAGGGACAAAGCTGTTGGTCATGTTAAGAGAACTGCACAGAGGATGCCTGCCAGTCAGAACAGAATTCGCACATGACTCGGTGACGTGTGGTCTGGAAGCAGTTGCATTAAATGAGATGGGAAAGCAGGAGGCAGTAAAGATAAGTCCATCAAAAGATGGCCTGTGTAAAGAGGAATAACTTTAAGACCACAGAAGAAGCTAGGACAGTAGGATGTGTAATCCAAGGTGTGCGAGTGGCTACAGTTGAAAAGATTACAGTGGGGGAACACTGTAGAAGATAAACCGATGATAGGGTGCCAAAGAAAACAATGCAGATGTGACCAAGGCCAAGTCCAGCCTAGAAGCTGACCACAGACTTGATGGCTACACATTGTAGTATTCAGCATGTGATCATCAAGGTGGTTTTAATGGAGAAACAAGCCATGGGCAGGAATGAATAGCACTCCTGTGAGTGCCGGGGACTGGACTTGGTGACCTTTCAAGATCCCTTCCAGTTCTAATATTCTGTGATCACTGAACTTATCCATAAAACTTCAGTAGTAGATTGCAGAATCAGGCACATGTTCTCATTTACATATAGGGGAATAACATGAAGGGAATGTGAAATCCAGAAGGTTTTCAGAAAGCTGCTGCTCACTCTGTAGCTGTGAATACTGTGCATGCTATTTCACTAAGGTTCTCTTCTCTTGCAGGGCAATAGAATTAAACTGTTTATATTTCTTTTTCTTTCCCAGATGAGTTATTTTTAATGGTCAGAGCACTCGAGTGCATCCAATATGAAGAAAGGACAGGTGCCAGTTTTGTTATTAAATCCCTGCTCCCAAGCTCCTGAATTTTCAATGAGATCCCTTATTGGCTGTATGAATGTGTGTGTTAAGAGTCAGAGGATGTGAAACATGACTGCATCCAAATGTGTCTCAGTCGAGCGATCCACTCCAAAGTCTTCATTAAACATGGGTATACCACTTGCACTTGTTTTGCTGGTTTTAGAGAGCTGGGGCAATGGTCCTTTTGATGTGTGTGTCCATGCGTAGCTGGGGAATGAGGATGGGGGTGGGAGAGGCAGGTAATTGGAAGAATAAAGGATCTCTCATTTTTTAATCAGTCTTTTTAGGTTTTGTTTCTGATCCCCATAACTAACATTAAAAGCGCCACAGTAATTTAACGTCAGCCAGAGACTTAGCTGCATGTTAGCAGGGAATGCTCTGTGCTTTGCTCAGTAAAATATCTGACAGAGGGCTGAGCTTTTTCAGGGTACCTAAAGGAGGTAGGCAGCAAACCTCCGCTGGGTGCCACGCTGTTAGAGCAATGGCATGTCCTGCCCTGGGCCTGACCCTGGGAAATGTTTGTTTGGGAATGGCCAGCAGACTCTGAATGGGCCAGTGCCTAACTGTCTTCAGATCCCTTGTTGACTCAGACTGCTCTGTGACAGTTGTTTGAATCAGCAAGTGTTCCAGGCAAAATCGCAGGGCTCTGAAATGTGAAACGGTAGCTCTGATGTTGCTCTCGCTGTGGCATCCATGGGAGCAAAGCCAGGAGACCAAACTTAGTCACTGTCAACAGTGATCCTCCGCTTTCAAGGAAATGAAGGTGCAGACTGTGCTGTATCCTCTGAAACCTCAGGTTTTGTTTTGAGGGATGGAGAAAAATAAATTTTCAGCCATCCTAGGAGCTATCCGCATATCCATGCCTGATCTACCAAAATCTACTTGGTCAGTTGTATAGCCAGCAAGACTGGAACCATAGATAAAAATAGTGTGACTTTCCCCTGGTCACCTGAACAGGATGTCAATAAATATTATAATGAAGTGACTCTTGCATGTGGGTGCACCACTACCATATATATTTGGGGATCTGCTCTGGTCAACTGCATGTTACAGGCCCGGTACAGCTAAACTTCTAAAAAGGACTTGTCTTTAGCTCAAGTGACGGGGGCCTTTGCTTTTGGAGCAAGGGAACTAGAGTTCTTATCCCTGCTATTGTTCTGAAGTGCCAAGTCATATAATGTGCAGCGTCCTGACAACAACTGTGAAGTGCTGAAGTACCCAATGTTCTGACTCATTGTTACATAATAAACCCCCAAACTTAGTAAGTAAACATCCAAGTGAGTTTTTTAATAGCTATTAAATATGTCATTGTGGGTTGGAAAATGTAAATGCCTTTGGGAAAATATGTTCACATGAAGCACTAAATATTGTTTTAGCTTGTCCCACAATTTCAGAGAAATTCCCTGTTTAATGTTGGTTAGGGAAGGTTGGAAAATGCCTATGAAAAGTGGATGCACAATTGTATGAATATTTTCATATGGTTTTCTCCCCATGGTTTCAGCCAGACCTCCACTTAGTGAAGTCTGTAAATTCATTAAATGAAATTTACAAATTACAAACAGTTGGTTTAAGTTAAAGCATAAATTAGATTTACTTTAAATCGTTGTCCTATGTAAAGGAAAAGCCAAGTAGCCACTAATGGGGGGGGGGAGGGGGAATGGTGGTTGTTCAACATCTGCATTCCAGTGATTGGTCTCATCTGATTTCTACCCCAAAAATTGGCTAGGAAAGCTGATTAAAATAAACCGAGGTTCTGAAAGATTATATATGGTAGGCGTCAACAGGAAACGGCTGTTAATATCTATTGGCTTCCGGATTCAACCGCATATTCACTTCTAAAAGTAGTCGGTTGGGAACAGTTTCTAAGCTGTTGTGAGACATAATTAACAAATGTTCTCCCCTTGGAGAATATGGCATATCGGAGCCTCTGGGTGAAAGGTAGGTAGGTTGGGACTGTTAGGAGCTCTTGAGAAACGAACGATTTCAGTTTCAGAGGGGTAGCCATGTTAGTCTGTAATTGAAAAAACTTAAACAGCGGGTGCTACAGGACAGGGTTTTTTTTTTTAAAGTTTTTCCTCTATCTCAGTTCAGTTGAACACGTAGCTCACAAATGGCTCTAGAAGAGGGGATGAAAGAAGATTGAATACGACAGTAGAAACGGATCTCCCCTCTCACATCAGGAAGTCCAGGTCAGGGCTGAGGCATATTGGAGGAGGTGGAGTGGGGGAAGCCAACCCGGCAGCTGCCTGGACTATATCTGTTCTGGGGTAACCGAGGTATTCAAGCTCTGGTATTAATGTGGCACCAGCGTTTGCTTTCTATAAATAAGAGGTGAGGAGGTAACTGATTGCCAGAAGATCAGTGGTTTTTTGTGACATCACCTGCTTTGTTTTAAAATGCAAATGACGAGACAAGACTGGATTATCTTTGCCTATCTAAATGAACCAGCATTTTGGCAACTGAAACGGCACAGGCTGGGTAGAGCCAATCAGAGACACAAGGTGCTACACATGATCTCTGATTATTTGCCTTGTGTTTGCCTTGGATAGTCTGCCTTTGAGAAGATTCTGCCATTTGGGCAGATTCTGCCATTTCTAGCAGACGTCACTCTTACGGAGTTAGGGACTATCGCATGGGGAGAGCCAGTTCAGTTTAGAGTAAGCCAGACTTCAATTAGAAGTGATGGGCTCCATGCAGGAATCACTGGGCGAGGTCTATGGCTTGTCTTATGCAAGTTGGAACAGTTGATCAGAATGGTCCGTTAAAATCTTGGAGTCAAGTGTTTGGTCTGATCCTTCAAACTGATAGGAATTCTCCTTGCACTGTGTGCATAGGTATAGTGCATCCTCACTGTTCTAAAGTTGCATCTGTACAGCAGCTATGGAATCATAAACTTTGCTAACTTGGTGATTCCATTAGCTAAATATTGTCTCCATTTAAAAGGCGGGGAAACTGAGGCACAGGTCTGATTTGCCCGTGCATTACCTTCTGCAGTTATTTACTCCCCTGGGTATAATCTCACCATTCCAGCTGAATGGACAATCAGGCCCATTGAGTTTAAATAACTTGCCCAAGGCTATGCACACATAGCCAGAGGGGATGTTGCAGTCAGAACTTGTCAGAGCCTTGTTTCTAGACCTATAATTGGTTTGCGGTACTAGGCTGCTTAAAAGCCTAACTTCACTGATTCCCTACCCAGAGGTTTGGAGGGGAGGGTCCTTTAGCCATGGGTGGGCTTATATCCACCACTTCCTGGAACCCAAAAGGATCACTGATCAATAACTGTAACAAATGTCCCTTTTTCATCTTTTATTTGATTCGTTGCTTAAGCCAGCGGTTTGCAGGCAAACTTTATACAGCTGATTTTGCTAAAAATGTCTGTTTGCTTTTGCATCTTTGTTGATTATTGTAGTGATTTTAATCTAAAGGGAATCATCTCTCTCTAACCCATTTTACTCCATGAAGACTCAAAGTTGTGCTCATATATAAGGTGACTGTTAGTCCCCATGGTAGCAGTGGGCTTGTCACTGCCATTTGGTTTATGACATCGCCGGATAAATTAAGCCCGGGAAGGTGGCAGGGTTGAAAGACACAGGGACCTCAGCTTTCCCACACGGCAGTGATGGGATAACTAGGGCAATGGATAAAAGGTAATTTTAAATGAGAGCGCAGAAAATGCTTCCTAGCCGTGAGGTCCATTGGATAATGTAACTTGCTTTCTCAGGCCTTGTCTCCATTTACAGGAAGATTGATGCTGCGGAGATTGATCTCCCGGGGATCAATTTAGCCGGTATAGTAAGGACCCACTAAATCAACTGCTGATCACACTTACATTGACTCTGGTACTCCACCAGGTTGTGAGAAGTTTGGGGAACCGATGGGAGAGTTTCTCCTGTTGACCTCTTCCTCCACCCTCACCCCCTGCAGTAGGGACACTGGAAATTTGAACTAAAGTATGTCGACTCCAGCTACGCTATTCGCATAGCTGGAGTTGTGCATCTTGGAGTTTGCCCCCTAGTGTAGACCTGGCCAAAAGGTGAGATTCCGGTCTGGTTGCTCATGCTGAGTAGCACAACTAGCTCCATTAAAATGAATGGGACTGATGACAGAGTGAGTTTGCAGGACTTAATCTGTAGTCCACTTCAACGGGCTGTGGATCAGATTCATAGACTGAGTATAAAGGTGCAAGAAACTGACCCTAAAAGAGGCCTATTATTAAAACTCTAATGCCCTGCTTTTAAAGGGCCAGGATCTTAGCTGATGTAAATCTGAATAGCGCCCTTGATCTGAGTGGTCATTTTCAGCAGCTGTGAATCTGAATCTGGATCAGTACACCTGAGACTTCCAAATCACTTTACAAATTCTAATGCTCCAAATGCACCCTTGGGAGGTGAAGAGTTATTGTTCCCATTGTTTGTCTAATAGTGATTAAGTGACCCAGCCATGGTCACAGTGAGTGAATAGCAGACTTGGGAATAGAATTTAGTACAAAAGCTTGAAGCCCAATTCGTGCTGGTACAACTATGGGTACTGGAGAACTGCAGGTGTAAGACCATGTCTATCAGAGTTTGAATTGAATGCCCTGGAATATTGATGTTTGGATCCAGACTTAACCTTTGCATCCAGCCTGTATTTCTATAAGGACTGGATCAAATCATCCAGATTGACCCATACTGACTATACCGGCTAAACTGACCCTTTACTTTCTATGTGGATAAGGGAGAAGCAGTGGATGTCATATACCTAGACTTTAGTAAGGCATTTGATACGGTCTCGCATGATATTCTTATTGATAAACTAGGCAAATATAACTTAGATAGGGCCACGATAAGGTGGGTGCATAATTGGCTGGATAACCGTAGTCAGAGAGTTGTTGTTAACGGTGCTAAATCCTGCTGGAAAGGGATAACAAGTGAAGTTCCTCAAGGGTCTGTTTTGGGACCCATACTGTTCAATATCTTCATCAATGATGTAGATATTGGGATAGAGAGTACGCTTATTAAGTTTGCAGATGATACCAAACTGGGTGGGGTTGCGACTTCTTTGGAGGATAGGGACATAATTCAAAATGACCTTAGCAAGTTAGAGAAATGGTCAGAGGTAAACAGGATGAGGTTTAATAAAGAGAAATGCAAAGTGCTCCACTTAGGAAGGAACAATCAGTTCCATACATACAAGATGGGAAGCGACTGTCTAGGAAGGAGCATGGCAGAAAGGGATCTAGGGGTCATAGTGGACCACAAGTTGAATATGAGTCAACAGTGTGATGCTGTTGCAAAAAAAGCAAATATGATTCTAGGTTGTATCAACAGGTGTGTTGTAAGCAAAACTCGTGAAGTCATTCTGCCGCTCTACTCTGCACTAGTTAGGCCTCAGCTGGAGTACTGTGTCCAGTTCTGGGCACCACATTTCAAGAAAGATGTGGAGAAATTGGAAAGGGTACAGAGAAGAGCGACAAGAATGATTAAAGGTCTAGAGAACATGACCTATGAAGCCAGGCTTCATGAACTGGGCTTGTTTAGTTTGGAAAAAAGAAGATTAAGGGGGGACATGATAGCGGTTTTCAAATATCTAAAAGGGTGTCACAAGGAGGAAGGAGAAAATTTGTTCCTCTTGGTTTCTGAGGACAGGACAAGGAGTAATGGGCTTAAAGTGCAGCAGGGGAGGTTTAGATTGGACATTAGGAAAAAATTCCTAACTGTCAGGGTGGTCAAATATTGGAATAAATTGCCAAGGGAGGTGGTGGAATCTCCCTCTCTGGAGATATTTAAGAACAGGTTAGATAGACATCTGTCAGGGATGGTGTAGACAGAGCTTGATCCTGCCTTGAGGGCGGGGGGCTGGACTCGATGACCTCTCGAGGTCCCTTCCAGTTATGTGAGACTAAAGAATGACGATTGTGGGTTAGAGCCACAGTCAGTTACTTCATGATGTAGCAATTTGCTAAATGGCCTCATGCTTTGGTTTTATCCAATGTTCGATTTGTGTGTGCAGGAACATTCAGAGGACATTGCATAAGCCTCTTGCGTAGTCGTCCTAAAAGGCTTCTTGGTGTTGAGAAATGTTCCTGTTTTAATGCTCTAAATGCCGGCTTTGGGTGGATGTGTGCTGCTGACTCTGTATCATTTAGACCTTTGCCTCTGAAATGAGAGGAAAGATTCTGAGTGTACCTTTAAGCGAGTTGACTAATGCTAGGTGTTCGTTCCATCTAGTGAGATGTGTTTACCAGATGGCCAAATGGATAAGTGGTGTCCCAGCATTCCACTAATTTTCATACAACTATGGCAGCACTGCAGGTAGCTAGCTTGGAGGACCAGTAGCGAATAGGTTAAATCTGTGGTTAATAAGTCTGCCATCTGGAAGGCTTCCATCGATTAGTGGTTAGCCACCTCTGAGTCATTTCTTTGAAAAGCAATGGTAGATGCATATTCTCTTCAACTATTGACAGTCATGTTTAACTGGAAAGATGCTTCTAAAATAATCGAGTGGGCTTAGCGGAGTGCGGCGACGCAGCAACTCACAAGTTCTTTCCCTGGTGCTGATTTGCTTTGTGGTTTTGGACAATGTGCTGAATGGTATGCCTACATGAGTGGAATGGAGAGGGCGGATAAAGAAAAGTTATTAGTTCTCATAATAGAAGAACTAGAGGACACCAAATGAAATTAATGGGTAGCAGGTTTAAAACTAATAAAAGAAAGTTCTTCTTCACACAGCATGTAGTCAACCTGTGGAACTCCTTGCCACAGGAGGCTGTGAAGGCTAGGACTATAACAGAGTTTAAAGAGAAGCTAGATAATTTCATGGAGGTTAGGTCCATAAAAGGCTATTAGCCAGGGGGTAGGAATGGTGTCCCTGGCCTCTGTTTGTCAGAGGCTGGAGAAGGATGGCAGGAGACAAATCACTTGATCTTTGTCTTCGGTCTATCCTCTCTGGGGCACCTGGTGCTGACCACTGTCACTACTGGGCTAGGTGGACCTTTGGTCTGACCCAGTACGGCCGTTCTTATGTTCTTATGAATCCTTCATATTCAAAAAGAGGTGCCTCAAGTTAAGCACATAAACCACAGACTATTAGATCTGGAAGGGACCTTGAGGGATTTTCAAGTCCAGTCCGCTGCCCTCACAGCAGGATTATGTACCCTCTAGATCCTCCTTGATAGATGTCTATCTAACCTGCTCTTTGTAGAATCTCCATCACTGGAGATATTAATCGCCCTAGGCAATTTATTCCAGTGCTTAACCACCCTGACAGGAAGCTTTTCCTAATGTCCAACCTAACCTCCCTTGCTGCAATTTTAAGCCCATTGCTTCTTGTCCTATCATCAGAGGTCAAAGAGAGAAATTTTTCTTTCTCCTCCTTGTGACACCTTCTTAGATACTTGAAAACTATCATGTCCCCTTTCAGTCTCCTCTTTTTCAAACTAAACAAACCCAATTACTTCAGTCTTCCCTCACAGGTCTTGGTTTCTAGACCTTTGATTGTTTTTGTTGTTTTTCCCTGAACCTTCTCCAATTTCTCTACATCTTTCTTGAAATGGGGTATCTGGAACTGGACACAATACTCTGACTGAGGCCTAAGCAGTGCAGAGTAGAGCTGAAGAACTACTTCTCCTGTCTGGCTCAGAACATTCTGGTTAATGCATCCCAGAATCATGGTTTGTGGTTGTGGGGTTTTTGGAACAACAGTCCTAGGTCCTCCTGACTTGGAGGCTTACAGCTCCTACAGACATCTGGCCAGATGCATGATATCTGGAATTCTGCAAATTGGGCCCTGTAGTTGGGTGCCTAAAACATGGATGAAAATGCTCATTTTAAGCTCCCAAACTTGTAAATGTTGGCTTAAACTCTCCTGAGGTACAGGTAGTAAGTATTATTCCTATGTTATAGGGGGAAACAGACCTGGAGAGTGTTAAGTCACAGAGTGAAATCTTGTTTTCAGTCACACTGGCAGTGGCAGAACTCGGGTTAGCTTCTGTAGGGCCAGAATTTCCCCTGTTGAGTTTTCACCTTGAAGATGTCGACTTTTCTTTGTTTGGAAGCTACTATAATTCCTGAATTTTGCCCGCTGACTTCTACTGCAGGCCACCAGGACGCCCTGTACTACTAACAAAACCTCATGCTGGAACAGATTCTCTGATATTTACTCCCCAGGGTTAAATATTTAATCTGGAGGTAGATTTTAATCCTATGTGTGTATATGGTAGGTTTAGACATGTGCTGTTCAGACTGCTTCTATTACCATTTGACTTGGTTCTGAAGTAATCACATCTCCTATCTTTGTTCAGGCGCCTTGTGAATTGTTCATGATGTTGTTGTTGTTTTTTTGTACTGTTCATACATGCCTCACCTCCCCCGCCTCCCCAATATTTGTGATTTTTTTTTCTTACTTCCTTTTCTGACTGGCCTTTAATTATCTCTCTAGATTAAGTGCGTTAATTGGAGCCAAGTGCATTTAGTTAAGTGACAGATCAGACAGGACGCCATAGCTTACTTTAAAAACCTTTTATGTTGACTATTTGACTCTGTAATAGTCCCTCAGAAGCTCATAAATGTTCTCTGTGCACTGCATGTTGATCTTTTGATTTGTCCCAGGCACCACTTTCCCCATCCATGCTGGGTTTCTTTTCCTCAGGTCAACATTCCTCTTTGTC